CCTCAGGGGGCGCGTTGCGTTCCTCGGCCCCCGCTCTGCGCTGCGGAAACCGCGGAACGGACTCTGCGTGACATTTCATCTTTAATGTGGGCCATTTAATATTTAATCTTTCAACTTTTAATGCTTCCAGAAATGAAGGAGAGAAGGAGAAAAACACCTCGGGGGTTTAGAGGGACAGGGACCGTCATGAAACAACGAGCGGACTGGCATTGCACCCCGACCACTCGCCTTGACCATCACCTTCTAGCGTGGGTGAGTGGGTGGGTGAGTGTGTGGGTGAGTGGGTGAGTGGATGAGTGAGTGGGTGAGTGAGTGGGTGAGTGGATGGGTGAGTGTGTGGGTGCTTGAGTCTGTGGGTGGGTGAGTGGGTGGGTGAGTAGGTGGGTGAGTGGGTGAGTGAGTGGGTGGGTGAGTGAGTGGGTGAGTGAGTGGGTGAGTGTGTGGGTGAGTGTGTGGGTGGGTGGGTGAGTGGGTGAGTGAGTGAGTGGGTGGGTGAGCGGCTGGCTAAGCGAGTGAGTCGGTGGGTGGTTGGGTGAGTGGGTGAGTGAGTGGGTGGATGAGTGTGTGAATGGGAGAGCGGGTAAGTGGGTGGGTGAGTGTGTGGGTGGGTGGGTGAGTGGGTGAGTGAGTGAGTGGGTGAGCGGGTGGGTCAGCGAGTGAGTGGGTGAGTGAGTGGTTGAATGAGTGTGTGGGTGGGTGGGTGACCGGATGGGTGAGTGAGTTCATGGTTCCAACAGTGTCTTGGAGGAGGAGGAAGAGGAATGTCAACGCCAGCCGGTGCGATGTTTGCGTCTTGAACGAGGAGTTTTTGTGGACGTCCGTGCTGTTCCACTAACAACCTTGTTTGTTAACATTCCTTACCAACCTGCAAGACTCAAGACTGAATGCCACTCACGCTTGCCAACTCGTGAACAGGACGCTCACTTTAACATGTAGCAGGCTTTTGCGATCAATATCATCCATAACAGAGGTTTTTTTGGGTGTTAGATCGCGTAAATTTCTAAATGTGTCGTTACTCACTGCCTGCAAGCAAAGCAATGCAAAAATAAAATTAAGCTTTTCTCCTTCCTGGCAATCAAACAATTGTTAGATGCTCAAGCATCAAATAGGTAGCTATTGAAGGGCATCACATCTGCATTAGTCACACGTAGCTGTGGTTAAACGTGCTCTAATAACATATGCATTGCCTTTTAAACTGATTGGCCTCGACCAGAGACAGCCTTCTTTGATGTTTGATGGTCTCACCAGTGTTAGAACAGAGGACGCCAAAAGACGAACAGGACATTCCAGATTTAAAGTTTTCGTGACTGCAAGGATTCATACTTTTTGGTTTTTTCGGTAAAGTCACGTAGGTAAAAAATTTAAATAAATTAAATCACGACGTTTCGGGCGCAACACAAGCGTCCTTCTTCAGGTGGGGACAACTTAGCGAAAGCACACCATGATTTAATTTATTTTAAATTTTTACCTACGTGACTTTACCGAAAAAACCAAAGAGTACGAACAGCACAATGACAATGCAAGCCTCACAGTATTAATGACTCTGGTTGTGCATCTATACATGGACATTCATAATTGTTGTTGTTGTTGTTTCGATTTAAAGCTTTCGTGACTGCAGGGATTCATCTTCTTGGTTCTTTCGGTAAAGTCACGTAGAAGGGAAGTAATAAAATAATACAAATAAAACATCATAAAATAATTATCACGACGTTTCGGCCACAACGCAAGCAGCCGTCCTCAATGCGTTGTGGCCGAAACGTCGTGAGAATTATTCTATGATGTTTTATTTGTATTATTTTATAATTTGCCTTCTACGTGACTTTACCAAAATAACCAAGAAGATGTTGTTGTTGTAATTTAGAGCCCCTTTGTCAATCCACTGCGGTCATGAGATTTGCTTGACCATATTTCACCACCCTGATCAGTGGGGGGGGGGGGGGGGGTGGGGGGGTGGGGGGTCAAGGTGGGACGAGGCCAATCTAGCCCGGGTCACGTCTCGCTCGTCACCGGTGTTGTCCGTGGTCGGGAATCGAACCCTGGTAGCCGATCACCGCCCGCGTGAGCGAGCGACAACCACTGCGCCACCGCTCCAACCGCCCTCCGCCGCATTTGCATTCGTCGTCGTGGTCATCGGCCGTGGTCCATCCACTGCTGGATGAAGACCTCCTCCCCCGGGGGTGACGCTCACCTCTAACGCGCCGAGCATTGGAAACCATCCTCGCCCCTACGTGCTCAGCGGACTCCATCACTCCATCTCCTCGGAGGTGAGTCACGATGGATCACGATTAGTACCGATCGATAACTATCGATAACGATCGATAATTATTGATAACGATCGATAACTATCGATAACGATCGATGGCGGTCGATAACGATCGATAATTATTGATAATGGTCAATAACAATCGATGGCGATCGATAACAAGTGATAACGATCGATGGCGATTGATAGCGATCAATAATCATTGATAACGATCGAAGGCGATTGATAACGATCGATAATTATTGATAACGATCGAAGGCGATTGATAACGATCGATAATTATTGATAACGGTCAATAACAATCGATAACGATCGATGGCGATTGATAGCGATCGCTAATTATTGATATTGATCGATAACGATCAAAGAACGAAGCAAAGTGCCGACTACACCGAGCATCTTCTTGTTTCCACCGATCGAAAAAAAAAGAAACGGAGCTGCGACAAGAGAAAGAGAGAGAGAGGAGGGTTTTACGCTTCCATCCGCCTTCCTCACCCCCACCACGATGCTAAAGCAAAGGGCAAGTTGATTGTGTTTTGTGTAGCGGGACACACGGGTACACCCCGACGCGGAGACTTTGAAAGTTGGGAAGTCCCCCACTCCTGTGCGGACGAATGTGTTACCCATTTTGTTTGCTTGTTTGATTGTTATTGAACAGAGTTCTTTGAATGACGGAGGGTGACTTTTTTGTGTCTTGGGTTCGATCGGGTGCGTCGTTAAACCCTCCGCCACCACCCGATACAGCTAATCAGTAAGGTGTGTCAATCAAAACGTTGCCAATTCGTTACTAGCTCAGCACTAACCGGTTGTGTGTTGGAGAGCAAAGCCACGACATTTACAATCCGAGTACGACGTTTCGCCGGTAATTACATCAACCAGCATCATCAGGCGAGTTGTCTCTGAATTGTAAATGTTGTAGTGGGAATTAAGTCTCCAACACACCGGTGTGACACGTTCTGTTTACGTGACAGACCTTGCTAATTGTCTGTGTTGGGTGGTGGCGGGTTGAACGACACATTTATATCCACGCGACCTCACCCAAAAAAAAGTTTTTGAAGAAGAAGCCTTGCCCAAAACGTCGAGTGTGTTTAATTTGTTTTTCTAAATTGGGCGTGCATCCCGTGTTGTTTTGTATTCGGGAGACACATTCAAAGGCAGAGCTCCGTTAGAGTAGAAGAACTGAGCTCAAATCATCGCAGAATCTAATCCTGTGGACGCATTTACATATGCCATGCATCAAGCAAACAAACCGAGACAACATGACGGGGCATTATGCAGACTTGTGCCGTGTGTGACGGCACTGAATGGATTCTGAAACTCTTTCAAATTCGTGTTTAGCCACATCGGAGTTTCCAAGCCGTCGCACGTGGCCTGTATCGCCACGTGATTATGTCACCCCCCCCCCCCCTCCAGGCAAGAAAAGGCAAAATTATTTGAATTTTAAGCGATGGGTTTTTATTCAGGCGAGTTTTGGGCAACCCTTTGATGCATTTGGCCGGACATCTCTCGGGTGAGCCCTCAACAGGCAAGCGGCCACGTGGTACATGTTTTGTTCGTATTCAATCAGCGTTACGAGAGTTATCGTGACCCCACCCCCATCCCCCCAATGTTACAGGAAGACCCACGTGGACGAAGCTAACGCATGAACGCGCCTCCGATTGGCACGGTTGGCTACGTACGGTGCGAAAGAAATTCGGCATACATACGCACAAAGTATTCGATATTAAATGGAAAGCGCTCATACAAAAAAAAATCAAACGGATATATGACGGCGCGGAATGTATGAAAACAATGACAAGGCTCCGCTTGTAATTCTGTGTAAGAGAAAATTATTTTTTGTGGAAAATGAGTGAACGAGTGAGCGGGCGCGTGAGCAAGTGAGCGAGCGACCGAGTAAGAGAGAGAGCGAGCGGGCGGGCGAGTGAGGAAGTGAGTGAGTGGTGAGGGGGTGTGTGGGCGAGTGGTGAGGGGGTGAGTGAGCGAGTGATCGAGCAAGTGGTGAGGGGGTGAGTGGTGAGTGAGGGAGCGAGTGAGTGAGGGAGCGAGCAAGTGAGTGGTGAGCGAGTGAGGGGTGAGCGAGTGAGTGGTGAGGGGGTGAGCGAGCGAGCGAGGGGTGAGCGAGTGAGTGGTGAGGGGGTGAGCGAGTGAGGGAGTGAGGGGTGAGCGAGTGAGTAGTGAGGGGGTGAGCGAGCGAGCGAGTGAGGGGTGAGCGAGTGAGTGGTGAGGGGGTGAGTGGGCGAGTGGTGAGGGGGTGAGTGAGCGAGTGATCGAGCAAGTGGTGAGGGGGTGAGTGGTGAGTGAGGGAGCGAGTGAGTGAGGGAGCGAGCAAGTGAGTGGTGAGCGAGTGAGGGGTGAGCGAGTGAGTGGTGAGGGGGTGAGCGAGCGAGCGAGGGGTGAGCGAGTGAGTGGTGAGGGGGTGAGCGAGTGAGGGAGTGAGGGGTGAGCGAGTGAGTAGTGAGGGGGTGAGCGAGCGAGCGAGTGAGGGGTGAGCGAGTGAGTGGTGAGGGGGTGAGTGAGCGAGTGAGTGAGCGAGTGAGTGGTGAGCGAGTGAGGGAGTGAGCGAGTGAGTGGGTGAGCGAGCGAGTGAGTGTTGAGGGGTGAGCGAGCGAGTGAGTGGTGAGTGAGCGAGTGAGTGGTGAGTGAGTGAGCGAGTGAGTGAGGGGGTGAGCGAGCGAGTGAGTGAGGGGGTGAGCGAGCTCCTTGGCAGGTCTCGCGATGGCCCCGCCTCCAGCCTCCAGCCTCTAGCCCTGCCCCGATCTGGAGCCTCCGTGAGCGGGCGAGCGAGTGAGGGGTGAGCGAGTGAGTGGTGAGCGAGTGAGGGGTGAGCGAGTGAGGGGTGAGGGGGTGAGCGGCGAGCGAGTGAGGGGTGAGCGAGTGAGTGGTGAGCGAGTGAGTGGTGAGCGAGTGAGTGGTGAGGGGGTGAGCGAGCGAGCGAGTGAGGGGTGAGCGAGTGAGTGGTGAGGGGGTGAGTGAGCGGGCGAGCGAGTGAGTGAGTGAGGGAGCGAGCGAGTGAGTGAGGGGGTGAGTGAGCGAGCGAGTGGTGAGGGGGTGAGCGAGTGGTGATGGGGTGACTGAGCGAGTGAGGGAGTGAGCGAGTGAGTGGTGAGGGGGTGAGTGAGCGAACGAGTGAGTGAGTGGTGAGCGAGTGAGCGAGTGAGTGGTGAGGGGGTGAGTGAGTGGTGAGGGGGCGAGTGAGTGTTGAGGGGGTGAGCGAGTGGTGAGTGAGCGAGTGAGTGTTGAGGGGGTGAGTGAGTGGTGAGGGGGCGAGCGAGTGTTGAGGGGGCGAGCGAGTGTTGAGGGGGTGAGCGAGTGAGCTCCTTGGCAGGTCTCGCGATGGCCTCTAGCCCTGCCCCGATCCGGAGCCGTCCTCCGGGGCCGGAGCGAGGCAGGCCGGCTCGGAGCAGTTGAACCGCACGGAGACATTCTGGCCTTCGCGCCAGCCAATCAGCATGGAGCACGGGATGATTTCCTGCAACATCACCATCATCGTCATGATCATCGTCATAATCGTCAATCATCGTCGTCGTCGTCGTCGTCATCTTCGTCCTCGTCATCATCATCGTCGTCATCAACATTATCGTCATCATCGTATTCGTCATAATCATCATCGTCGTCGTCGTCATCATCATCATCGTCGTCATCGGTAACTCGTTGACTGAGTCGGTCTCTTAAAGTGTCGTCGCTTTGAATTCATCCCCAATTAGGTTTTTGCTGATAATTGTTAATCTTATTTGAAGATGAATTATTTTTTTAAACATCTAAAAGCATTGCCAATGGCTCTCCTCTTCATCCGAGGACAAAACGGGGGAAGGCGATAAAACGTTTCGCGATTTAAAAAAAAAGCCCCCATCTTCATCTTCATTGTTTAATCCTTTAATTACGCCACGTAATGAGCGCCGAACTCGGCTGGACGGCTTCCAGTCCACCCCTTTGCTCGATCTGAGAGCGTCGCTCACGTTGTCAGCAGAGGGATGACGACGAAGATGATGACGAAGACGAAGATGAAGACGAAGATGATGATGAAGATTAAGACGAAGACGATGATGATGATGACGAAGATGATAATTACAACGAAGATGATGATGACGACGAAGATGATGATGATGAAGATGATGATGATGACGAAGACGAAGATGATGACGATGACGAAGACGATGACGAAGATGATGATGAAGATTAAGACGAAGACGATGATGATGATGACGAAGATGATAATTACAACGAAGATGATGATGACGACGAAGATGATGATGATGAAGATGATGATGATGACGAAGACGAAGATGATGATGACGAAGATGATGATGATGAAGATGATGATGATGACGAAAACGAAGACGATGACGAAGAGGCATTCGTGACGTAAAATAGACAGACCGGCCCCTCCGCCCGAGACGCCGTCGATAGCGGCGACGCACTATCTCAACCATTTGTCACATTTTGTTTCATTCAACATTTTTCTTCATTTCATTTTGTATTCGTTTACCAGCAAAGACCCCGCTGAGCAGTATAGCTCTTGTTCAGGAGCGACCGGGGCAATCGCGAGTGTGATTCACACGCGGATCGCTCAGTCGGCCCCACGTCGACCGCACACGTGGCAACGGCTCCGCCCTGAATATCCGTACCCCGTTAAAGGCGCAGCTCTGCAATAGCTCGGGTACAGAAACTGCTAGGGGGAAACGCCCAGCCCCGAGGGTGACTTTGGCCTACTCTTCCACGTTGGACGGACGCCCTGGAAGAGGTGCGAGTAGTTGACTACCTCGCCTGGTATACAGGAGGTCGTGGGTTCGATTTCAACCGTGACGCCTGCTGCTGTATAATTGGAGTTTGCGTGTTTCTCTCCCCGTGGTCGCGTGGATTTTTCCTCGGGGTCCTCCGGGTTTTCCCTCCACATTGAGAATCAACATCACGCGATTAGATCATTTGCCTTCGACTGTAAATTCCCACACGTGATAAGCCACTCTGTAGCTCAGTGGGCCTTACCTGATGAATATAAATGAATACGAAGTAAAACAAATAATAGGTGCTCCGTGAACAGCACTTGCCCCAGCAGTCTGGTGAGGCTATACGGGGGATCTTTGTCTGCAGCCGTGGCTGGGGTCCTCACCTGTGATGGGAGCTCGTGCATCAGGGCAAGGAATTGGAACTGCAGCCCCTTGGGGTCACCCTTGGGGTCACCCTTGGGGTCACCCTTGGGGTCAACCTCGGGGTCACCCTCGGGGTCACTCTCGGGCTGCGGAGAAACGGAGCGAGCGGATTGGCAGTGACACGACAGCTCCGCTACACCACATGGTAGGTGACACGGTGGGGCTCATGGTGGGTGACACGGTGGGTGGCACGGTGGGTGACACGGTGGGTGGCATGGTGGGTGGCATGGTGGGTGGCACAGTGGGGGCCACGGTGGGTGACACGGTGGGTGGCACGGTGGGTGGCACGGTGGGGGCCACGGTGGGTGGCACGGTGGGTGGCACGGTGGGTGACACGGTGAGGATCATGGTGGGTGGCATGGTGGGTGGCATGGTGGGTGGCATGGTGGGTGGCACGGTGGGTGACACGGTGGGTGGCACGGTGGGTGGCATGGTGGGTGACACGGTGGGGCTCATGGTGGGTGGCACGGTGGGGGCCACGGTGGGTGGCACGGTGGGTGGCACGGTGGGTGGCACGGTGCGTGGCACGGTGGGGGCCACGGTGGGTGACACGGTGGGTGGCACGGTGGGTGGCACGGTGGGTGGCACGGTGGGTGGCATGGTGGGTGGCATGGTGGGTGGCATGGTGGGTGGCACGGTGGGTGACACGGTGGGTGACACGGTGGGTGGCACGGTGGGTGGCACGGTGGGTGGCATGGTGGGTGGCATGGTGGGTGGCATGGTGGGTGACACGGTGGGTGACACGGTGGGTGGCACGGTGGGGCTCATGGTGGGTGACACGGTGGGTGGCACGGTGGGTGACACGGTGGGTGACACGGTGGGTGGCACGGTGGGTGACACGGTGGGTGACACGGTGGGTGACACGGTGGGTGGCACGGTGGGTGACACGGTGGGTGGCACGGTGGGTGGCACGGTGGGTGACACGGTGGGTGGCATGGTGGGTGGCATGGTGGGTGGCACGGTGGGTGACACGGTGGGTGGCACGGTGGGTGGCACGGTGGGTGGCACGGTGGGTGACACGGTGGGTGACACGGTGGGTGACACGGTGGGTGGCACGGTGGGTGACATGGTGGGTGGCATGGTGGGTGGCATGGTGGGTGGCATGGTGGGTGGCACGGTGGGTGACACGGTGGGTGACACGGTGGGTGGCACGGTGGGTTACATGGTGGGTGGCATGGTGGGTGGCACGGTGGGTGACACGGTGGGTGACACGGTGGGTGGCACGGTGGGTGACATGGTGGGTGGCATGGTGGGTGGCACGGTGGGTGGCACGGTGGGTGGCACGGTGGGTGACACGGTGGGTGACACGGTGGGTGGCACGGTGGGTGACATGGTGGGTGGCATGGTGGGTGGCATGGTGGGTGGCATGGTGGGTGGCACGGTGGGTGACACGGTGGGTGACACGGTGGGTGGCACGGTGGGTGACATGGTGGGTGGCATGGTGGGTGGCACGGTGGGTGACACGGTGGGTGACACGGTGGGTGGCACGGTGGGTGACATGGTGGGTGGCATGGTGGGTGGCACGGTGGGTGGCACGGTGGGTGGCACGCGTGGTGCATCTGCCGGTAATCTTAAGTCAGTGGAGCCATGGCAGCTGAGTCTGTTTCGTGACTTGTCAGCGTGACCTCAAGGTGCACCAAGCTTGGCACCCAGCGCCGTGATGACGTCACCGCAACTGAGTGGTGAACGGCTATTGTTGTGTTTGGGTTGTGTCGTGTCCGATTCGTGTCTTTGTCTCGTCGTGGTGGGTGGGGTCGGCAGAGTCGGCAAGGCCGATGAGCGGTAGGCGGAGCGAACGTCTGAAGACCGAGGATGAGGCCGCTCCCTGTGTGGGCGGTGTTAGTGGTTGAGTGGGCGGGGCTATTGGTGGGACGGGCGGGGCTATTGGTGTGGTGGGCGTGGCTAGTGGTGGAGTGGGCGGGGCTAGTGTTGGAGTGGGCGGGGCCGGTGGGTGAGTGGGCGGAGCTAGCTGTGGAGTGGGCGGGGCTAGTGGTGGAGTGGGCGGGGCTAGCTGTGGAGTGGGCGGGGCTAGTGGCTGAGTGGGCGGGGCTAGCGGTTGAGTGGGAGGGGCTAGTCGTGGAACCTCCCATAAACGCGGCAGCTTTAGCACGTCTGTCTGTGTGTGTGTGTAAGTAACCTCAAATGAGCACCTGGTGTAGTGTAGAGACAAAGGCGGCCGGGCGTGGTGCTGGCCACCCACCCCCTCGTGTGCCGTGCCGGCCTTCATAGGTGCTACTTGGTAACAGCACTGTTAAGGCGATATGGGGGATCTTCGTCGTTGTGTTGTAGGTGCTCGCGAATAGCACTTGCCCCAAATATCGGTTAAGGCTATATAGGGGAGCTTTGTCTTGTAGGTACCTCGCTAACAGCACTTGCACCAAACGTCTGTTCAGGCTATACGGGCCATCTCCAACTTGACATTGTTTACACGTGTGTGTGTGTGTTGGCGACATTTCACGTGGCCTCAAGGTGCACATGGCCTGGCACAAGCGTCGTGGTGACGTCACCGCCACTTAGTGGCGAATGGCGGTTGTTGTTGTTATTATTAATACAGGTTGAGTCACAAAACCGTACCTCTCCATAACAAAGGCTCACCCTCTTAAGCCTCACCTTACCATATGAATAAAAAGTGTGCTGCACTTGGCCCTTCCCCCCTCTCCAACCATTATATAAACGGAGTGGTAGCTCCTGCAATCTCTCATTTACTTGATCATTTACTTGATAATTTACTTGATACAGCTGCCGTGGCTGTGACGGTTCCACCTGAAGACGCAAGCTTGTGTTGCCTCCGAAACGTCGTGATTTTTATTTTTATTTCATTTTACTTTTATTAATTTTAATGTTTTACCTACGTGACTTTACCGAAAAAACCTAAGAATATGTTGTTATTGTGTTGGGGAGTCTTGGATGCGGTGAGCTCACCACCACTTGCTGGACACTGCGCACTTGAGTCAGCGTCACTTTGCTGCTGACGTCTCCCCGCTCGAGGTTCACGAAGCTTCCTCCGATCTTCGCCAGCCTCCAGAACGGTTTCAGCACGCTCAGGACATTCCCAAAGCTGTCTTTGGGGGCACACGAGGCGGACACAGAGGATTTCGGTAAAGTCACGTAGGTAAAAAAATGAAATAAAAATTAATAAAAATAAAATAATAATAAAATAATATTAATAAAAAATATTTCCTTTTTTTACCTACGTGACTTTACCGAAAAAACTAAGAGTATGAATCCTTGCAGTCACGAAAGCTTCAAATCTAGAACGGACACAGAGGGGTTTTTTAAACCAGAGTTCCAGACAGCAGTAGGTGGTGGTGGCGGGGGGGGGGGCGTTGGGGGGGGGGGGGGCTTCTGCCAGCAGTGACACGGGCTGCGCTATTGCAGGACTGCACCTCTACTGGACATCTGTGACCACTGGATGTCTGTGGAAAAAGAGCTTCATGGCTCATCGGATTCTTCCGGTAAAAATTAAGATTCTGATTACCCTACACTGCTAACAAAACACACTGCGGTATTAACCAGAGGCTTTGGCCGCAAAAGCCTGTGAACTAAACTAATTCTATTTGACCAGGTAGGACCCCTTTGGAACCTCATGGTGTGAATGCTTACCCCGAGCTCTCATACTCTGATGGTGCATTGTCTTTGAGTTGTGTGCCTTTTGGCGTCATCTAGCCCAACCCATGTGAGACTAGGCTCTAAGGAAAGCTGTCTCGGGTGTGTACCAATCAACTTCAAGGACAGTGCATAAAGAGTTATGTTTTTTTGTTTGCATTATGACTGCAGGTATTGTGGTCTATGCAAACATGACTCCTTGTAAAAAAGGTGTCAGTTTTGTTGCCAGATAGAAGGGTAAAACACCAATTATCAGGGAGGACCCACTGAGTTATTAGCTTCTTTTTCAGAAGCGACCTGGCCGCAAACGATAGCTCAACGAAGTGACTCATCATTCGAAAATTCATAGCAGCCAAATACCCTGAACGCGTGACGTCATGCTAGATGTGGAGGGGAAAACCCGGAGGACTCGGTGAAAAAAATCCACGCGGCCACGTTGAGAGAGACACCACAGACTCCCAAATATACAGCAGCAGCAGGCGTCAGGGTCGGGATCGAACCCACAACCTCCTGTACACCAGGCGAGGTAGTCAACATCTCCTAGCCACCGTGATGATGATGAGAGAGAGAGAAATACAAACTCCAAATATACAACAAGCATCAGGGTCGGGATCGAACCCACAACCTCCTGTATACCAGGCGAGGTAGTTGACATCTCCTAGCCACAATGATAATGATGAGAGAGAGAAAAAAAAAACTCAAAATGTACGACAGGCATCAGGGTCGGGATCGAACCAACGACCTCCTGTGTACCAGGCGAGGTAGTTGACATCTCCTAGCCACAAGTGACAATGATGATGATGAGAGAGAAAGAGAAATACAAACTCCAAATATACAACAGGTATCAGTGTCGGGATTGAACCCACGACCTCCTGTACACCAGGCGAGGTCGTCAACATCTCCTAGCCACTGCGTCGACCCCAAACCCGCCCCGCGCACAGCACAACGGCAAGCGTCGGACGCGCCACCACGGAGTCGCGTCGTCACCGCCGCGGAGCGGTGCGCGCGTGAGCAGCTTGTAAATCATCTCTCCTGGGCGAGGAGCCGGTGGCGCTGATGTCGGAGAGCGGTGGATGCGGGGGGGCAGCAGTGATGTTCAAACTGGTGACCTGAAAACGGGGGTGCGGGGGGTGGTGGCTGGGTGGGTGGGGGAATTGGCAGGGGGGGGGGGCATGGGCACCCCGTGGTGCCTGTGGCCGAGCCCGTGTGGGAAATTAACCGCTCCCCTTCCCATCTATGTTTTGGGACCGCGGGGGGCTTTCGTGAAAATAAAAATCCATTTGCGAGCCGGCAGTGTCATATATTGGCGTGTTGTGTTATAGGATTTTTTATTGTTGTCGTTGTCAGTGTGTGTGTGTGTGTGTACGTGCGGATGTGTGTGTGTGTGTGTCGTGTAGCGGGTTAGCGTGCTTTTGCCACAAAGCCGGCGACGCGAGTTCGAATCCCACTCCCGACCAACACCAGTGGCGACTATCCGAACCGACCCTGGGCCTTCTCTCGGTCGACTCATCCTAAAACGAGTAGCTATTGCGGTGCGTAAACATCAGAACTAGGGGGGGACAAAGGCAGCCGGGCGTGGTGCTGCCCCACCGTTCTCTACCCCCTCGTGTGCCACAGTTCCGGCCTCCTCGCTAACAGCTCTCGCCCCAACTAACCAGCCCCTGCGTTCATTTCCTCCCTCTCCTTACCAGGGAACACCGAGCCGATGACGGCCGGCGGTTGAGTCCCCAGCTTCTCCAGGGCGTCTCTCAGCGAGATGCCGGTGTCGGCGGCGTCGTCGTCTTTGACGGGGGGCGGCCCGGCGTCGCCGCCCCGCGGGAAGTCGCAGGCCAGGTGGTCGGCCCGCATGGCCTTGCCGGGCAACCTCAGGAAGCTGATGTGCGCCTTGCACTTGCACACGAGCTGCCAAGAGAGGAAGAATGGGGTGGGGGGGGTGGGGGGGGAGTGCGTCACGATCTCGAAAGTCAGTGAAAGACCTCTAGTTGGGTGTCGGGCCGTGTCTACCACGTTTTGATGCTGTCGTGTTCGCTTGACGTTCGCCTGACGTTCACAACGTGGCAGCTCGGCAACGCCTGCCGCGACGGCGGTGGGACGGACAGCAGCGCCGATTAGCACGGTTGGCCAGGTAGGTACGGCGCGAAGGAAGTTCCGCGCGCGTACACGCACAAAGCGGTTGTGGAAATAACGTCCGGCGAAACGTTTTGTTTCGGTCAGCCACGAGTGATTTATTTCCACCCCCCCCCCCCCACCGCTCCGATGAGTCACGTCCACGTATTAGTGCCCATTTCTCATCTGCAGCCACGATCCAGCGGTGGAAATAGCCTAAGGGACGGTGGGGCAGGAGGTGACTTGAGTCCGTTCCATAGGACGACCGCGCTTGTCCTATGGATAAGATCGCATCTCCGATTAGCGGAAGAAATTCAAGAGACATACAACACATGTTAACTTCCACACAGAGTGGTAGTCACTTTATCCAGCCCCTTAGGAAGGGATGATGAGCTGAGTCAACCTCGCAAAGCGGGATTTTTACTCGCGACATTTCGACAGCGATCCACTATTCCTGGGGTGCTGTGGTTGGCATGGGCCCTGGTGCAAGCGGTTAAATGGCACCCACGCCCACCTAATTCGTTGGCGACATTATAGTTAAATGACGTCATAGTGAAATGACGTTAGAGTGAAACGACGTCGTAGTTAAATGACGTCATAGAGAGGCATTAAAGTGAAACGAAGTTATAGTGAAATGACGTTATAGTGAAACGACGTCATAGTGAAACAACGTTATAGTGAAACGACGTTATAGTGAAACGACGTTATAGTGAAACGACGTTATAGTGAAACGACGTTATAGTGAAACAGCGTTATAGTGAAACAGCGTTATAGTGAAACAGCGTTATAGTGAAACAGCGTTATAGTGAAACAGCGTTATAGTAAAACAACGTTGTAGTGAAATGACGTCATAGAGAAGCATTAAAGTGAAACTACGTTATAGTGACATGACGTAATGGTGAAACAATATTGTAGTGAAGCGACGTTTTAGGGACACAACGTTTGAGGGAAGCAACGTAAATAGGATCGTCGTAAATAGGATCGTCGTAAATAGGATCGTCGTAAATAGGATCGTCGTAAATAGGATCGTCGTAAATAGGATCGTCGTAAATAGGGGACTTCCCGTATACGTTTAAACCATCTGAGTGCCGCTTACCTTACTCGGATATTCCGTTAATTCAAAGGTGAAGTGATAATTGGAAGGCGCATTTGAGTCCATCTGCAATGAGAATATGATAACATCAATAAAACTCACACAACACGTGGTTGTTGTTGTTATTACGACTACGAGAGAAACTCAGTTTGATGGCGAGCGGCATGTTGGTTGCCCCGCGTCCGACCGCACATCCGCAGCTGAGCGAAGTCACACCGCGGTAGGAGAGCGAACTTTTCTTAAAAATAGGTGCGCCGCATGCACAGCTGCGACATCCGCACGATACCCAGGAACCCGCGTGCGGCGAGAGAGAGAAGCCTCGAATCACGATGCCAGCCGTGTCCAGGAATCGAACTCTGTTTTTTTTTTTCGAGTTGTCGGAGCGCAATTGCGAGAGCCACTGTCCCCACCTTGGTGCTTAACGTCTCAATCATTTTTGTTCTTTTTATTTTTTCAAATCTTCAACTGGAACGCTTCACTGGTGCCGCGGTCACCAATCACGGCAGAGTTAAATATGCTGCTCCGTTTGCGGCTGAACGCGAGGAGCGGATTGCGTTACATCGCCACATCCGTGCGTTTTGAAGGCGAAGCGCCCGTGGGTTTCAACTGCGAAAAGTCCACTCGTCGTGACTGGTGTTGACCGTGAGATAAAGATCCCCCGTGTAGCCTTAACAGACTGTTGGGGCAAGTGCTGTTAGCGAGCACCTATGAAGGCCGGCACGGCACACGAGGGGGTGGGTGGCCAGCACCACGCCCGGCCGTCTTTGTCTCCCGAGTGGCGATGTTTACACACCGCACCAGGTACTCATTTGAGGCTGAGTCGACCTATGCGAGGCCCAGGACCGGTTCAGATAATCGTCAGCGGTGTTGGCCACGAGCGGGAATCAAACTCGACTCGCCGGCTTCGTAGCGCAGCGCGCTAACCGTTGCTCCACCCCTCCCCCGTACACTCACCTCTGCACGCTCGCTTACCCATGCAAGTCACGCACACACACACGCACTCACCTAAAGGTCACTGGGGGGAAAGGTCAGCGAGAGGTTGCCAGGCAACGGACAAGAGTTCAACATCAAAGGCCCTCGATTAGAGCGGCCGCTGCCTTCCCTTCAGAAGGTTGCGAGTTAAAATCACGGGGTGGGGATGATGGGGGCGGGGAGTCTCACTCAACCCATCATCTGTCAGGTCGACAAAATAGGTACCGCGTTGTGGAACGTCCAACGAACCCACCTCTGCCGCGGGAATGTTGAATTCCAACCGTTGATTTTTATATTCTTGGATCTTTCGGTAAAGTCGCGTAGAAGGAAAATAATAAAATAATAAAAACAAAACATTCTAAAATTCATTAGAACGCTGTCTTTCCGACAGCTCTGTTCTTCACCTGAGGACGGCTGCTTGTGTTGTGGCCGAAACGTCGTGATAATGTTATAATGTTTTATTTTTATTATTTTATTATTTTCCTTCCACGTGACTTTACCGAAAAATCCAAGAATATGAATCGCTGCAGTCACGAAAGCTTTAAATCGTTGATTTTTTGTTTTAATTTTTTTTGTTTCAAAAAGACGAGCGCCACGTCGCGCTCACTCGGCGCTGCGACCGCTCTCGATTTGAGGACGACGATTTCCGGTCTACTCTTCCATGCTGGTCAAATGTCATGGAATATGTTGGAGTAAACACGCTTTACCCCATCACATGAGACATCCTGATCTATTTACTGTGGCGTACCTATTTATACTCCTGGGTGGACACAGGCGGCGGAATTTAAGCAACTTGTACTATTCCTGGTTCTTTCCGTAAATTCACGTAGAAGGGAAATAATAGAATAATAAAAATACATTTTAAAACGACGGAAGAAAAAAATAAAATGCACGACTCCAACCGCGTGGATCCGTCGCTCAGTCGGGCACTTCGATCCGCGTCCAACGTCGGCCCCACCAGATTCACGCTGTACCCGTCGCAGCGACATCGATCGGGCGCGTGCCTCGGCTGACTTTGATTTCATCTTTTTTTGGGGACGCAACATTGGGAATGGGTGGCTCAGACATTAGCCACCAAGTGACGTCGCCACGGCAACTCCGTCCAGCGTTCATTGGGAGGAAACCGTTTTAGGACAAAAAAAAACACTCAACAATCTATATTTATAACACGTAATGTACATCACAATATCACGTCATCTTTCTCACGTAATCGATATCTATAACGCGTAATCTATATCACATAATCTCTATCTATAGCACGTGATCAATATCACGTAATCTATAACACGTTATTTTTATCACGTAAAGCTTCTCATAGCTCCGTGTTATGTTTCGGTGTTTGGGGCTCTGGTAGAATTGTAATCCCCTTTGCCCGTTACCCCTTCGCTGGTACAATTGTAATCCCATTTCCCCGTTACCCCTTCCCTGGTAGAATTGTAATACCCGTTACCCCTTCTCTGGTATAATTATAATTTCCTTCCCCCGTTACTTCTTCGCTGGTAAAATTGTAATCCTCTTTCCCCGTTTCCCATTCCCTGGTAGAATTGTAATCCCCTTTCCCCATTACATCTTCTCTCGTTGAATTGTAATCCCCTTTACCCGTTAACCCTTCCCTGGTAAAATTGTAATCCCCTTTCGCCATTAACCCTTCCCTGGTAGAATTGTAATCCCCTTTCGCCGTTACCCCTTCTCTCGTTGAATTGTAATCCCCTTTCACCGTTACTCCCTCTCTGGTAGAATTGTAATCCCCTTCCCTGCTACCCCTCTGGTAGAATTGTAATCCCCTCCCCCCGTTACCCCTTCTCTGCTAGAATTGTAATCCCCTTTCCCCATTACATCTTCTCTCGTTGAATTGTAATCCCCTTTACCCGTTAACCCTTCTCTGCTATAATTGTAATCCCCTTTCCCCATTAACCCTTCCCTGGTATAATTGTAATCCCCTTTCACCGCTACCCCTTCTCTCGTTGAATTGTAATCCCCTTTACCCGTTAACCCTTCCCTGGTAAAATTGTAATCCCCTTTCGCCATTAACCCTTCTCTGGTATAATTGTAATCCCCTGTCCCCGTTACCCCCTCTGGTATAATTGTAATACCCTTTTGCCGTTACCCCTTCACTGGTAGAATTGTAATCCCCTTTGCCCGTTACCTCTTCCCAGGTATAATTGTAATCCCCTTTCACCGTTACCCCTTCTCTCGTTGAATTGTAATACCCTTTTGCCGTTACCCCCTCTGGTAGAGATGTAATCCCATTCCCCGTTACCCCTCTGGTTGAATTGTAATCCCCGTTTCCCGCTCTGGTCAAAATAGTAATCCCTCCCTTCCCCGGTTACTGCCCTCTCAGGAACCCGAACACCTCCAGCCAGGCCTTGTCCTCCTCCTCGCGGCCTTCCCTACCTAGCCCCGTCCTTCAAGTCGACCCCAGTACCTGCGCCTTCCACGGTATGAGCCCTCCAAAGAAGGCCCTCTCGCAACAGTCCATGGCGTTGGCTTCTCGCGCGGAGCACAGGATCTGTTTGGGGGGGAGGGGGGAGCAAGTGAAGGTGGGTAGCCATGTACGCGTTGGGTTAGATGTGTCGTCAAAACCCGCCACCACCCGACACGGCCAATTAGCAAGTTTGTGGAAAGTAAATAATAAAAAATAAAAGCATGTCAAATCGTTATCAGTACAGAATGCCGGTGTGTGTGTGTGTGTGTATTGTGTTGTTAGTGGGGAGCGGTAGTGTAGTGGTTAGCGCGCTGCACTACGGACCTGGCCACCCGAGTTCGATTCCCGCTCACGGCAAACACCAGTGACGATTATCTGAACCGGTCCTGGGCCTCCCCTAGGTCGACTCAGCCTCAAATGAGTACCTGGTGCGGTGTGTAAACATCGCCACTAGGGAGACAAAGGCGGTCGGGCGTGGTGCTGGCCATCCACCCCCTCGTGTACCGTTCCGGCCTTCATAGGTGCTCGCTAACAGAACTTGCCCCTACAGTCTGTTAAGGCTATACGGGGGATCTTTGTGTTGGAGAGTAAACCCACAGAGTTTACAATTCGTGTCGCGTGACAGCTTTCTTTAGAGCCTAGTCTCATGTGGTGTTCGACCAGATGACGCTGTCTCTGGTTTGGAACAATCAGTTTCAAAGACAATGCATAAATTATCAGAGTATTGTTTTTTTTTTGCATTTGACTGCAAGTATTGTCGCTAATGTAAGCATGATTCCTTGCAAAAGGTGTCAGTTTTGTTGCCAGAAAAAAGGGGAAAACCCCTATCAGAGGCCCACACAGTTGCACGGTGCGCGTGCCCGCACGTACACACGCACAAACAACGCGTGCGCACGGGTCTGCAGTACGCGCACGGTCAGGTTTTTTTTGTCATTTTTCATTTATCAGGTATATAACCCTGTGAGCCATGCGGCTCTTGACTCGGGTGCAACCGCAACAAACAAAAACACGAACAAGAAACATCTTAAAGTGACTCCACGCAACAGAAAAATCCGGGAAAAAAACAGCAATAGGCGGCCGCGCCATCCCAGCGGGCATCAGTCTGCCAGTCGGAGTCAGGGAGGAAGAGGCCGATGATTACCGATATCTGTTATTTCTAGATTTGAAGCTTTCGTGACTGCAAGGATTGATACTCTTAGTTTTTTCGGTAAAGTCACGTAGGTAAAAATAAGTTAAAATTAATAAAAGTAGTAATAGAAATAAAATAATAAAATAACACATTCTGATAAGCTCCCCCTCCTCCTCCCCCTTAACTTGTATTTAAGAACTTGTATCTTGGAATCCCTGCCTCACTCGAAACAGCAAATCTGGCTGTGACGGTCCCACCTGATGACGGAGACTTGTGTTGCCTCCGAAACGTCGTGATTTTTTTTTATTTTATTATTTGATTTCTATTATTACTTTTATTAATTTTAATTTCATTTTTTACCTACGTGACTTTACCGAAAAAACTAACAGTATGATATCTGTAAAGCCAGCCGAGTCACTTGCGGGTATCACCAATTTTCGTCGCCACGGTGGCCAAACTGTGGCCCATGGGACGCGGCACGCAGTGGCCACCGACTCGTTCCGAATGACCTCGGCGGAGGTGGACGGGAGAGAGGGTCTGGGGGGTGCGGGGAGGGGGGGGGGTGATCGATCTCTGGCGTTCGACGTGAAGCAGACAACGTGTCCGTGGCTGATCGACCACACTGCCCACGGTAGCAACCACGATCCGAGCCACGAACCTGGGCGCTCACGGCGTGCCCCTTTCAATGTCATCCACAGCCACCTTGCGGCTAAACTCTGTCCCGTTCTTCTTCTTGGTTCTTTCGGTAAAGTCACTTTACCGAAAGAACCAAGAAGATGAATCCCTGCAGTCACGAAAGCTTTAAATCGAAATCTGTCCCGTTTTGTTTGCGACCGATTGACTGACCGACTAACCGCCTGGACATCTGTGAGAAATGATCTTTACAGCTCGCGCGGGTTTGCCCCTCCCCATCTCCCTCCAGGTGTATCAAACGTAATATCCCGCCTCCGATGAGATTCTGACCTCTTGCGCGGCGATGACCCTGCGGAGTTCGTAGAAGCGCGCGGGCGATCCGCGCTCCACGTTGTAGCGGTCAGCGGCGAGGCGAGCGAGCCGGTTGGGCAACGCGTGCGAGTCGAAGAGGTCGCACACGAAGCTGCCGCCCTCGTCGCAGAAGCATTTGCGGTAGTTGTCGCTGCCGTGCGCGCCGGGGCAGTTGCTCACAATCGACAAGCCGTCGAGGGCCGATGGCAGCAGAAGCAGCAGTGGCAGTAGCAGTCGTGCGGCAGCCTGGAATGTCGATGCAGCTCCAGTCGCCATCGTTGTTTCGCCTCGGTGGCTTTGCGATGGGAGGACTTTGCGATGTTTGCTTTGAGAGGAGGGCTCCCTGTTCAAACACGCGAGATGTAGCAATGTGGCCCCGTTGTGTTTTTGCAGTGGTGACTTATTTGCCAGGGCCAGTGGCGATTCAGGGAAGCTGATGAATGCACCCCCCCCCACCGCCCACACCACCACCCACACTCCCTCGCGTCAGACACAATGCGTTTGATAAGTTTGTGATTTTTTTTTTAATTGGCAACAATAACAAAAGCGGGTTCGTGCCGCTTTTAAATTGATGCAAATTCCATCCCCCTTACTCCCACCTCCGCCGGCACTTTCCAATTGCCTCATTTTCCAAGAAGCGCTCCTAAGTTGTGTTCAATCCGCTTGGCTCTTCGCGATGTTTCTCACTGTTAACAGCGCTCGCAAGGGGTCTGCGTGGCTTCGTTAAACAAAGCCACCCAACTCCCCAACGCCGACGTCACCGCCCCGCCACCACTCGCCGTGCCAGCCCCCCCCCCCCCCCTTTTTGCCCACGCACGCGCCCACGCACGCGGATCGTAGCCGCCGCGTGCCAGACGCCGTCTCGCGCATCCAAAGTTGGCAGCGCTGAATGAAAACCCGTCGGGGGCGAATGCGCAAACGCATTTGAGAGTTTGCAAAGATTCAAAGGGCTTTCCCTTCGGGGAGAATGCTAATTCTTCCAGGGCGGGGGGGGGGGGGCCTGGCGTTTTTCTTCCCCCCCTCCCCCCCCCCCCAGTTTTTCGTTTCGATGTAATGCACATTTAATTGGCGCAATTTCGCGGTGGCTTTCGAAGTGTATTTATTCATTTTTTTGCCCGGAGAGTTGTTTAAAAACACACAAAAACACGCGCGCGCGGTCAAATATACCACCCCCGGTGGTGGTGGTGGCGGTATTTAATTTTGTTGTAATGCCTTGCTGCCGCTGCGTCGGTGCCGAGTCGATGCTGATCGATGCCGATTCAGTTGAGCGCCACAGGCTTAGCCCCCCCCCCCCCCCCACACACACCTGCGAACGACTCACGCTGCTCTGACCTAATCTGCATTCGCACGAACTTCGTTTGCGAATCTTGCAGCCGCGTGACTCGCTTGCTTTGAGTCAATTCTCATGGCACAGAGTCGAGTGTTCGTCCTCTCACTCTCTCTCTTTCGCTCTGCAGTCGATGCGTATAGGGCCAAGGATTGTCTGCGACAGCTCAGATGGCTTCCACTTAAACGTCGCTCCGCCAAGAGACAGATTATTTGATCCACTGAGCGTAGTGTCGGAAGAGAATCGAGAAATTGACAATTGTGTCTTGAGAGAAATATTTTATTTAAAAAAATATATAAGTGAACAGAAATAAATGCGTGAATGTTTAATTAAGAGCTGCTAGTTTGGCGTATGTTACGCCGTGGACAGCTGGCATGTCTGATTGCTTAAATGTTTGCAATTTGTATGGCGCTCTGTTAACACCTCGGAAACTCACAGCAACCTTGACGCATGTTGGACTTCTTTCGCACCGTACGTCGCCAACCGTGCGAATAAGGGGGTGCGGGGAAAGTACAATGAGCTACACAAAAACAGACAAAGATCCCGCGTAAAGCCTTAACATACTGTAGGGGCAAGTGCTGTTAGCGAGCACCTATGAAGGCCGGGGTGGGTGGCCAGCACCACGCCCGACCGCTTTTGTCTCCCCAGTGACGATGTTTACACACTACACCAGGAACTCATTTAAGGCTGAGTCGACCTAGGGGAGGCCCGGAACCGGTTCAGATAATTGTCACCGGTGTTGGCCGTGAGCGGGAATCGAACTCGGAGTCACCGGGTTTATAGCGCCGCGCGCTAACCACTACACCACCGCTCCCCAACTACAACAACAACAACCGCCATTCGCCACTAGGTGGCGTTGCAGTCACCACGACGCTTGTGCCAGGCTATGTGCACCTTGAGGCCACGTGAAGTGTCGAACGCTTGCTGGCAGGAGGTCACGGGGCAGACCCAGGTGCCACGGGTCGACTGATTGAGTTGACTGAGATGACTGAGATGACTGAGTTGACTGGCCGCTCCCCACAGACACACACAGGAACATCTCTCTTCTGATTTCAAGGGCACCCCTTTGTGGGACCAAGGCGACTCGACAAGGGAGCATTCGGGTTAAGCTCAACAGGCTGCGTGCAGTACGTTCACAATGCGGACCGCCAGGGTGCTAACCGCTACACCCTTTGAGGATCCACATCACACAACTCTCCTCTTGTCGCTTCACTGGCTGCCTGTTCGTACCGCGTATTGATTTTAATATTCTCTTGCCGGCATTCAATGCCTGAAACGGACCTGCTCCTCCCCCTATATTCGTGACCTCCTTTGGCCACGAATATTCCACCAAGATCATTAAGAACATCAGATTGTGCGTTGCTCGCCGTCACCACGGTCTCTAGGCTCCACACTCGGGGGGAGGGGTGACGGCGCTTTTGCAATTGCGGCACCTGAACTCTGGAACTTGTTCCCAATCGAGGTCACGACTATCCAGGACCCTTGACAAACCTTCAAATCTCGACTAAAAACGTATCTGTTCAAAATTGCGTTCTCTCTCTTTAGTTATTTTCAAACGTACGTCTCACTCCGTGTTTCCTTTGGTTGATGTTAAACTATTTCCACCTTTTCATGCGAAGCGCCCTAAGAACGATTATTTAAGGGCGATTTAATCATTTCAATTATTACTGTTATTATTATGAGCGGTGCGATGATATATTTGTGAAATTCCAGTTGCCAAATTTGCGACGCATTCTTGTCGAGGAAGTTGGACGGGCACACCGCACAAGGGCTGACTCGTCATACTTAATTTGGAGCATTCGTGACTGCAGGAATTACTCTTTGGTTCTTTCGGTAAAGTCACGTATAACGATAAAATAATAAATTTAATAATAGCATACGACGTTTCGATTGCAACACAAGCAATCATCATCAGGTATAAATGAAATAGAAACACGAATCTAATATACATTACATTTCTAAGTATACTAGATTTGTGTTTCTATTTCATTTATACCTGATGATGATTGCTTGTGTTGCAATCGAAACGTCGTATGCTAGTATTTAATTTATTATTTTCTCTTTATACGTGACTTTACCGAAAGAACCAAAGAGTAGGCTGACTCGTCCCCAACGACGCCAGCGGATCTGTAATGTCCACCGCGAAGCAGACGGCACGCAGTACACCATGGTTACTGCGCCCGCAGTATTGACCAGGGCGGTCTGCCGGATTGAATCGAGCCGCGAGCGTGCTACCACTGTCGCTATTGCAAGCCTTGACTCAGGGCTGTACTTTGAGCGATGATAATTCACCTATCATTAAACGTGGGGTCCCCCCCTTCCCTCCGAGCACAGTTCACCAAAATATCTGTAAGGCAAGGATCTCCTGGTTCGCATTATCTTCTGCCTCTCTGTGTTGAGCCATACAACTCTCCATCGTGGGCGCCACGGTCGTGAGATGTTAACTACCTCGCCTGGAATACAGGAGGTCGTGGGTTCGATCCCGACCCTGACGCCTGCTGCTGTATATTTAGAGTCTGCGTGTCTTTCTCTCTCTCTCATCATCATCACGGTGGCTAGGAGATGTTAACTACCTCCCCTGGTATACAGGAGATCGTGGGTTCGATCCCGACCCTGACGCCTGCTACTGTATATTTGGAGTCTGCGTGTTTTTCTCTCTCTCATCATCATCACGGTGGCTAGGAGATGTTAACTACCTCGCCTGGTGTACAGGAGGTCGTGGGATCGATCCAGACCCCGACGCCTGCTGCTGTATATTTTAAGTCTGCGTGTCTCTCCCTCTCTCTTTCTTCCCGTGGTCACGTGGATGTATTTTCGGGTCCTTCGCTTTTTCCCTCCACATTTAGAATCAATGTCACGCGTTTATATTATTTGACCGCTCCAAATTCCCACCTAATAAGCCACTTCGTTGAGCTATCATTTGTGATCATTTGTGAGAGCCAGATCGCTTCTGCAAAAGAGCCAAATAGCTCAGTGGGTCTTACCTGTAAAATAAAATAAAATAGTTTATACTTCACCATATCCGGCTCATTGGGCTAAATGCAGCCCTTAATTTTGACCGGAACAGTCCGGTAATGTTCACCATTGCGGGAATGATTTTGTCCACGCCGCATCAAAGCCATCTCACCGCCCTGTTTCCTGTTCATATGATTATAGCATTGATATGGGTGTACAGCAACATTGTATATGATTAATAATATCAGCTATGGCTCCGTGAACTCTAGTGGCAGTGCCTTACGCCGTTGATCCCAACTCCGACACTATCCAGCCGAGCAGCATTCCGGAAAATATTCAAGTGAGATATTAAAAAGCCGTGGTTGGGCGATGAACGGGAATGAGTAACGGTAGGAACTGGCTTGGACTATCACGGACTCAGCTCTGCCAAACTCCATCCCCCCCTCGCCCCCAGCGAAGAATCGTCACCGGCTTGTCGGATTTTTCCAGCTAGAGTTTCTGTCTGAACCACTACAGGCGGTTTGTTTACGATCACACAAAGTCTTCTTGGTTCTTTCGGTAAAGTCACGTAGAATGGAAATAATAAAATAATAAAAATAAAACAGAATAAAATAAAATTCTCACGACGTTTCGGCCACAACGCAAGCAGCCGTCCTCAGGTGGAGAACAGGTCTGTCGAGAAGACAAAGTCTGAATGACACTCCCCAGGCTTGGAGCCTGGGGTGTGTCATTCAGACGCTCCAAGCCTGGAGTGTCATTCAGACGTTCCAAGCCTGGGGTGTGTCATTCACACTCTGTCTTCTCGACAGACCTGTTCTCCACCTGAGGACGGCTGCTTGCGTTGTGGCCGAAACGTCGTGAGAATTATTTTATTATGTTTTATTTGTATTATTTTATTATTTCCATTCTACGTGACTTTACCGAAAGAACCAAGAAGATGAATCCCTGCAGTCACGAAAGCTTTAAATCGAAAAAGATCACACAAAGCTTGCAAATAAAATTAAAAAAACCCACGGACATTGTGTACGTGTGAGCAGTCACTATTACAGCGTGCGGAACACGGTAATCATTACCACGCCACGCTCTGGTATCGATCCGCTAGG